TGAAAGTACAGCTTTGGGTTAACTGACTAATATTTGTTTGTTTGACCTCATAGTTAATAAGTTTCATTTTAATATCTGAATTTATGAGGGAAACTTTGTTTCAAGATGACTGTAGTTGCCTAAAATAGCCGCTAGAGGGCGCACTATGTATGTGATATGTAGTAAATCCAGTAGACGTGAGCGTTGCATGCTGGGATCAAAAACACCTCAGCTAAGCCTGATGCTAACAAGTCACCATACAGCCACGAGTGAAGTTAGTTCTTCTATTGTATGGAAGAAATACTGTTTGTTTTCATGTTTATGAGTCTGTACTGGTCCAAAGTTGTTGCCAGAGGGTTCCAGACCGCTGCGACCGGACATGTAATTTTTCTGTGTATTTATGATTAAGCAATTTTCTTATCAACAAAAAACCAATTGGAGTCAACTGTAAATGTTATGGAGACACTGAAATCAGTTAATATGCTGAGTCGTGCATTTATTTTTAGTGTAACGCAAATTTTTATCGCGTCATTTCTGGGCGCCATGCTCAGTGTTGGAGAGTTAAAAATATGCTATATGTGGGCTAATGCTCATGATTTGTATACATATGGGTTTTTCCTGATATAAATAATGTGTTACAGTTGATGTTGAGATGATTAAAAATACATAAGGGTGAATGTGAATGAGAGACATGATTGATTAGAGATATGGGATAAGTTGTGTAACATGATTTATTAATACTGTTAAAAAAGGGGAAAAAACACAATGATGTCTAAGGTTTTAAGGTCTCTGGATATAGTTCATCATTGCTTTTGTGGTCAGTATTATAAGTTACACTTGAGTTAAAGAGAGATATGATACTGTACAGTAATTGATGATAGATAATTCATTTTATGTCCTGCTATGGCAGATTGGTTTTTTGAGTTGCTGGATCTACATTGTGGGACAGCCTCGATCCCAACCAGGTTTCCTGTCAGACGTGAGGCAGGGTTAGAGAGTATCTGGAATTCTCCATCTTCATCATCTTCCTGAAGATTGATGCCTGGAGCAGATAAGATCTAAGCTGCATGCAGCAAGCCTACAAACAAACACACACATTCTACCCGGGTAGCACATACACATTGAATACACTTGGACAGACATGGATACAAACTAAGCTTTTTGGACTGGACTTTGACGAACATTGATATCACACAGCAATAAGCTGTAAAGAGACACTTTACTTTCAGTTCTTTTATTTCTTTTATATATTGGGAATTTGAATCTGAACTATGATTCTACTTTTTGTTGATTGTGAAAATAAACATCCCTGTGTTTACCTTTTACATTAATCCATCCCTCGCTCCTTGAGTTGAACCTGAGTACAGTAGTCAATTAAGTGTTGTTCTTACTGGGTTACACAGGGTTTTTTAGCACTGGGGTAAAAGCAGTTACTTTTAAACTGAAGGGATCAGAGGCAGACATTCATGAATAGTGTCAGCAGGGGGCATATCACAGCTCAACATGGTTTTATCAGAGGAGTGGGCATGGGGGTCATAAAAGCACATGGTAGTCCTTGAGTTTTTGACAACTTCAGACACATACTGCTCATCAGCTGAGAAAACGTGAGTGACTGGACCAGGTTAATAAACTCAGCTTCAAATTAAAATGTGTTAGTTTACTATCATACATTGTTTTTCTGATTTATTTTAAATGATGAAAATCCAGTATTTAATCTCACTATTATTGTAAGTGACTTACCTTGAATGCAGTTTTCCCTGATTCGTGTAAGAGTCCTTTCTTCATCAAACTCCCTCTTTTTTCTCTCAGAATTTAAAGTGTTGTCAATTTTTGAGCGAACATAGTAGAATTGCTTTCCCATCTTCTGAATCTCCTTAGCGAGTTTCACATCATTCTCTCTGAAGCGAGTGTCTGAGATGATGATGAAGAAGTCGAACTTCTCAAATTCAACAAGCTCCAGGTACTTGTCAGCTGGAAACTTAGTGGTACCAACACCAGGAAGATCCCACAGAGTAACATTGGGGTACTTTGGATGGGGGTATGGTGTAACCTCTGAGGTGGATTCTACACAATCAGTAGGAGCGGCTCCCTCATCTTCACTGTCTATGCCTCTAAAGGCATTGACAAAGGTGGATTTACCAGAGCCTGTCTCTCCTGTGATGGCAATATTCAGTGGGATGTTATTCTGCTGATCCAAATACTCCTGGATCTTTGCAGCAGCTAACGCTTGATTATTGTTTTGTAGAGCTTCTTTAATTTCTTCAGTGAATTCAGAATGCAGTTGATTATCCATGTTGATCCTTGAAAACTGGAGGAAACGATAAGTGAAAAAGTCATTATTGTCTTTTGGAGAATAGTAGAAAATGTAATCCTACAGTGATCTAACACCTTGCACACAAAATATGGCAAAATGCAATGCAAATGGTTATACAGTGACACATCCAACTCCTATCATTATCAGCAGCAGTAACATGCACAGACTATGTTAGGAGGGGGCTAGGTGAAGATCAAAAGCAGTACATTTATTCTGCACAGTCTATATCTGAGGTCATAACAGACCAGAACAGTCAGTTACATAGACTCCTCCTGCACACCACTGATCCAATAGCAACAGAAATCTGACCAAACCCTCATCCACACTGTGCATCCTTGTAGATTTGTCCGTCTGTAGTTTTAGCACAGTGCAGTAACAGGGCAGTAATGCATCTACAACAGATATACAGCTGGGGGCGCTGTTATCATACAGAATTTAAGGTTGCCTATTTAGAGAAGGAAGGAGTCCCGCTGTCCCTCTAAGAAAGCAGTTGTGTTGTTACTGCAGTCAAACAGTATCTCCAGCTCAGACAGGCAACTTGCTGGGGGTTTAGTCCAATCAGATCACAGCTCATTTGTACACAGCCTCTTAGAGCCAGGACTGCTATTTCACCTATCCTCAGGTTGGTCCCGCCTATGTTACTTAACCCTTTACTGGTGGTATCTAAGACCTTTCAACGAGAATGTATCATTGTTATTGGATGAAAAATATGATAGATCTCCCACAATTAATTTACTACTGTTGGGTTGTATAATACAACCCAACAACATGCAGTATAAGTTTAGTGGATCCTCTATATCTTAATGAGCCTGTTTTAGACAGAGAGAAGCAGCTTCCTCTTATGTTTCACTGAAATAAAAAGTAGACTTTGTTGAATGTTAGAGGCTACTCACCCTGAAGTCTGAATGTAGAAACAGATGAGAGAAGAGCAGATCACCCTATGAGTCACTGTGAGTTGTTCAGTTTCTTTACTTCTGTAAAAACAATAGAAGAGCTCATCAGAGCCCAGCCCTTTAGAGACTGAACAATGAAAATGTCCTGGGAGTGACAGACACCCATTGGTTATTAGTAAAGCAGCTGACTTACAAGAAACGTGCTGATTTACAAGAAGCCTGGAGGGTTAAAGTCACTAAGTGAAAGACACTTTAGCAGTGTCCTCTGCCTTACAGCTTTGTGAGATTCATTTGTAATTTTTTAATATTGTTTTTGGTAATTAGTGTAAGTCATTCCATCCTAATAAATAACATAATCTCATATGTATTGCTCACCCATGGCTGCTATTGCAAACGTTACCTCTCTTACAGTTTAGACCATATTTCTTCTTTCATGCTGTTTTTCAGTTAGTATAAGAACTTGTGTTGGTTCAGAAACTTAATATTGTGAGCCTGTTTGTCCCCTTTTTGAAACATTGTGTGTGATATTTAATCTAAACAGAAGACTTGACCTGACGTTCTTGAATGGTTCTTTAATTAATAACAACAATAATAATTTCCTCTACAGAACAGTTAGACTTAATCCAATCTGAGAAGAGATTTGCTGATATGTTTTCACAATGCAGCAGAAAAATGTATGTGGATTCTATATGTATACATGTAAATGTTTATGTAACATTTCATCTGAATGAATAAGCCCAAAGTACTGAAAACTCACTGTTCAGACTACACCTTGTCTCATAAAAACTCTTCCTCTACCTCCTACAGTTTCTGAATAAATTAATACTACTGCTACTACTACTACTAATAATAATAATAATAAAAACTTTATTTATCATTAGCACATATAGCACATTTCAAAACACAGCTACAAATGCTTTACAATAATAAATAAAGATAACAAAGAGAACTAAAATGTCATAAAACATAACTCAGCAAAAAGACCTTTAAAAACGGGTTTCAAAGTAATTTAAAAAATTGAAAATTAGACAGTCTGCAGTTCTGATCTTCTCATGCAGGTGATTCCTGAGACTAGGAGCTCTAACTGCAAAGGCTCTACCACCTCTGAATATCAATCTGGACCTAGGAACAACGGGAGGATGTCATGGGCAGGATGTAGCACTTCATTTTTTAATGAAAATAATTTTAGGGTTGTACTGTGTCAGCGAAAAGTTTAAATCCTTTCTCTTCGCAGTTGTTCAGTTGTACAGTGTTCAGTCGCTTAGACAGTTAGTAGAAAACGCCCTGCTGGGAATGTACCTGATTTACAAGAAACACGGAAACAGAGGACAGGAGTGGTTTGTTTATTAGAGCTGACATTCTGCACCTCCTAGTGACGGGCATGGCAGTTTCAGTGTATTGAGACAGCTCTCTGGGCTGGAGCAACTCAGGGTATATCACTGCTCATATTCACTGTAGTAGTACTAGTTTCCAATAAATGTATATTGTATAAATACTCATATTTTCTATCTGCATGATGTTAGGTCCATGGATTCAAGTTCCTGTGATTTCCCAATAGACAATGCAGTGACCACGGTATCCATTTGTTAAAATCCTTTTGTGTAAGTCACTCTTGGGCTGACTGAGATTAGAAGACTAAAAAATAAATGTCCAGATGTGATTCCAAAATTAAAACTGCAAGCAGTGATGATTGGGCCCTCACACTCGGTGCACGTCAGGGTGTGCTGCTCACTCCTTGCCTTCACGTGTTGCATAAAAAACAACAAAATAATTTTAAAAAGACAGCAAATAAGAAAGCAGAAATAGACGTGAACCTGCACAAGGTCTAAAAAAAGGTCCTTTCCAGTCAGCCACATCACTTGGCTGCAGCACCTTTCCTTTTAAGCACAATCGGACCTGCAGGAGACATTGGCTCCTACAGACAATAGTGACTTTTTAACTTCTCGTTTCCTCCAGTTTTCAGGGATCACCATGGATAATCAACTGGATTCTGAATTCACTGAAGAAGTTAAAGAAAAAGTTTGCTCAGATTGACAACAAGTTACGAGCTGAGGAGAAAAAGTCAGAGGGAGATGTTGCAGAAAGGACTCTTGCACAAATCAGGAGAGACTGCATTCAAGATAAGTGACTTTTGTATTCTTTTATGATAATAGTTAGATTTATTACTGTATTTTAATTACAAGTCACATAAAACAGATGGTAAAGAATATTAAATATAATCTTAAGTAAAAAGTTATCTAGAGTCTAACATACTTTATAACTTCACCAGCAGTCCCAGATTCATGCTCCAGGAAGGTAATCTTCCTCTTCTTGATGGTGGTGGGGTGGAGTGATGAATAGCTTGAGCCATTGTTGTTTTCACAGAGGTCCCATTTTCTGTTTGGAAACATTTAACAGAAGTTTCCTGGAGCAAACTTTCTTTCACAGAAAATCTGGACCAGCAAGATGTTTTTAATCCTTGAACTTATCATTCAGGCGTATAGGACTGATATTGATGTATTAAATGCTGATATTGTTTTTTATACATGCAAAACAACAACAAAACAAAACAAGGTTAGATGTTACTGGTGAGTTTCTGGAAATTAAGATTTTATATATTAAAGTGAGGCATCAAAAGCACACAGTGCCAACCAAGAATCTAGAAATAATAATCCAATAACATGTATGTCACTATCAGCCACTCTGAGCGGTTCTATTTCATTTTGAATGCATCGGGTAAATAGAAAACACAGCTGTGCCTCATTGTCTGTCTAAGCAGCACAAAGGATATCAGTGTTATCACCACTGTTCTGACAGCAGTCATTAGTCTGTGCTTTCATTCAGCTATTTTAACTGTTGGAACGTTTTCTGTTGATCAATAAGCAGTGTACCTATCACATTAACTAATGAAAATAGGAAAAGGGACATAACACTTAAATACTGCCATATTTGTCGTAAAAATAGAGTTTTAACAGAATTTGAATTCTCTGAGGATACATATTCAAGTATTTTTTTCATTTAATTTGAAATGAATTACCATCTGTTTGCAGGGTTTTCCATATTCATTTATTTTTCCTATCGTGACCATCAGGTGACTCTTTATGAAGGTATTGAGGGATATTTCAGGAGTTACACATTTGAGAGACTGAACAGATTGCAGAACTCTTTTGTTCCTCAGTCTATCATATATCATATTGTTGTAGACTAAATACTGATTGTGAGGCAAATAATTCACATGATTACACTGGAGCCACAGAAATAATATATGTTTGAAGTATTTGTTTTGTTATTTGTGTGAAGCAGTGTTTGTTGTGGAGACAAAAATCATAATTCGGGAACCTTTTAATTGGAGGAGTTGAGTGTGAATAACATTCTCTTTCTATGTAGTTTTTTTCATTATAGTTATTCTTAATGAGGTCATATCAAATATATCATGTATGTTTCCTAAAAAGTGCAGCTACAATACAGAACTATGATTTGTATGCATTATTAATTAAAATTATAAAGTACCAAAAAATATGTCAGTTTACTCAATGATACAAAATGGTTCCCTTAAGGAAAACAGTTGGGATCCGCTGGTCTAAGATGATTTTAAGCTATAAAAAGTTTGTATTTGGGAAATTAAACTGTGATTTTGCTCTTTTGTACACTGCAGTTTTAAATGTGCCATTGAATGCCATTGCTATTCACTTTACAATATCACACTGAGATGTTCAACCCCAGACCCTTTTAAACACCCTCTCTGCATCCTCAGCAAGCATGTTGAGGACACTATTGAGAGCTCTGTAGATTGTGATAAAAGAGAGGCCCATTGCTACTACGAATCCAATTATTGGAATGTATCTGGACCATTCCTCTGCTACCATTAATGCAGCTGAGCTTTCAAGCAGCTTCAGGATAAGATCACACGTTATTTCTTTTGCAGCCAGTTGTGAACGGATGGCAGCTGCCAGATCCTTCAATGGCACACCTGTAGTACCAGCTAGACTCTTCAGTGACAAGCTATCAAGACCAAACCCAACTATGTATTTTTTGACAACTCCAACCATCAAACCTACATCAACAGCAACAGAAAGCCCAGGAACTGGTACAGCTGCACCGAGTGCAGATAGAGTAGCAAAGAGCTTTATTTGCGAATGGAAAGCATCTTTCTTCTTGTTGATGATCTCCAGGTTGATGTTGGGCATGGCCAACAACAGAGCTTTCCTCTTGTGTGCAGTACGTACTCTCTCTAGGATCTTATGTAGTAGATAGAAATCATACAGGTGGAGCCCAAAGTTGGACACCAGGAAGACTTGAGGAGACTCAACACCCTGTTGCTGAAGACCTGCGGCACAAAAGGAATAAATGGTTTGAAGATGGAAACTGGTGAAAGAATTTAAATATTTAAATCACCTGAATACCCAATCTGTTCTCATCTCAGGTTTGTCTTTGTCACGTCCCCTCAGCATTTCATACATATGCACATGGTACCCTTCAGTATATGTACGAGCTGCAGAAAGCCTTTTGAACACATAGTCAGCATTGTGAACTCTGTGTCACAGTTGTTAAGGCAACGGAACTACTTCACTGACGTTTAGGGAACAAAACTACTTTGTTAAGTGTGACAAGTCACATAATTTATGTAACATAAAGTAAGTAAGAGTTTAGGTGGAGAGTTAACATCTGGATCTCGAAGACCTGTGTCACAAATAGTGTAAGTCAATAAGATGTATGGAATAATAAAACTTTTAAAATTTCAAATTTAATATCAGTACTTTTGTTCCTTGTTAATTTCTTATCAGTGGTGTGATCTGGTGCTAATCAATCATTTACAACAAATAAATAACACATACAAATAAATAACATGGTCGATAGTTTTAAATCTCTGTCATGAAATATCTTAAAATGCGTGTGACTAGTGGCAAGAGAATGCTTCTCACACCAAACTGCTTCAATTAAAATGTTACCTAATGGGCGCTGGGTTAGCTCAGTTGGTAGAGCTGGTTACCCGTGTACGGAGCTGCTGCAGCAGCCCGGGCTCGAATCCGAACTGCAGCCCTCTGCTTCATGTTATCCTCTCTCTCAAAATAATTATGAGCAAATGTATAACTTCAAATATAAATATCAATCAGAAGATAAGGAGCCATCTGATGGTCACAGAGTTGTCCTTGTTGTCGCCTGGTTAGTACTGGGTTAATAGCAGTTACCTTTAAACCTGAGGGATCAGAGGCAGACATTCATGCATAGTGTCAGCAGGGGGCATATCACAGCCAGACATGGTTTTATCAGAGGAGTGGGCGTGGGGGTCAAAAAAGCACATGGTAGTCCTTGAGTTTTTGACAACTTCAGACACATACTGCTCATCAGCTGCAGAATTTGACCTTTAGTGTGTGTGGGTAAGTTACTGTGCTGAGATAAAGTGAGTGAGTGGAGCAGGTTTATAAACTCAGCTTCCAATAAAAATGTGTTAGTTTACTATCTTGTTTTTCTGATTTATTTTAAATGATGAAAATCCAGTATTTAATCTCACTATTAATGTAAATCACTTACCTTGAATGCAGTTTGTCCTGATTCGTGCAAGAGTCCTGTCTGCATTGAAATGCCTCTGACTTCTTCCCTCAGCTCGTAAATCGTTGTCAATCTTTGAGCGAACAAAGTAGAACTTTTTCTCCATCTTCTGAATCTCCTGAGCGAGTTTCACATCATTCTCTCTGAAGCGAGTGTCTGAGATGGTGATGAAGAAGTCGAACTTCTCAAATCCAACATGCTCCAGGTACTTGTCAGCTGGAAACTTGGGGGTATGGTGTGACTTCCATTGTGGTTTCTACACAACCAGTAGGGGCAGCTCTCTCATCTTCACTGTCTATGCCTCTAAAGGCATTGACAAAGGTGGATTTACCAGAGCCTGACTCTCCTGTGATGGCAATATTCAGTGGGATGTTATTCTGCCGGTCCAAATACTCCTGGATATTTGCAGCAGCTAACGCTTGATTATTGTTTTGTAGAGCTTCTTTAATTTCTTCAGTGAATTTAAAATGCAGTTGATTATCCATGGTGATCCTTGAAAACTGGAGTTAACAATAAGTGAAAAAGTCACTATTGTCTTTTGGAGAATAGTAGAAAATGTAATCCTATAATGATCTAACACCTTGCACACAAAATATGACAGAATGCAAATGCACTATGTGCTCATACAGTGACACATCCAACTCCTATCATTATCAGCAGCAGTAGCATGCACAGACTATGTTATAAGGGGGCTAGGTGAAGATCAAAAGCAGTACATTTATTCTGCACAGTCTATATCTGAGGTCAAAACAGACCAGAACAGTCAGTTACACAGACTCCTCCTGCACACCACTGATCATAAAAACCAATAAACGGAAGCGTATTGCATTCACTTGAGAGAAAAAAAACTCTGGTTTATTTTTTGGTTTGTTTTTTTGGAATATTTTTTTCTGTTTTACTGAGTAATTCTTTTCCTGTTTTACAGAGTAATTTTTTTCTGTTTTTCTGAGTATTTTTTTCTGTTTTTCGTGGTAAATTTTTTTCCGAATTATCGAGATACGTCGAACTCCCGCAAGAACCTCCAACCTGCAAGTTACTCCCATGGACCTATGGTGACTCCTGCCCGCACATACATGCCCCATCTTCAACTATCTACCGTACCGGGTCAATTTTGCTGTATATATTGCTATGTCTAGCAGATCTAAATGGGCTTTCCTTCTGAACAACCGCAAAGTCCTCAGGTGCCTGCATAGAATCGACAAACTAATGATAATACCATCTGTGAGCCGTGCTAAGGGTGGATAAATTAAAACACAAGTGCCGACAACGCCACCTAGGTTTAACTGAGGCCTAGGACCTCTTAGGATCACCAAATTAAAGTTAGGGTAAACAGGTTCTTTTATGTCGGGGGAGAGCAGTAAACAGTGTTATTTTTAAAACAATGAGTACAGCCAGTGGAACACAGTTGAACACAATTTATTTTAAAATAAGTAAAAACAACTAAAAGCTCTACCTTCAAATAAACTAAACAAAGAACACAAACAACTAAAACCCAGCTAAAATAATGTGGCACGGATGGAGTGGGAGGTCAACAACGGCAGTCGCGGGTCTCTGGTGGCGACCACCTGCTCTTCACCTGGCTCCGCTCTTCGGCAGCCTGTCGAGGGAAACTCAGGGCCAGTCAATGTCCTTTAACAAGGCACAACTTTATATATTACACACTACACAAACACCGGTCTGAAACGGGACTTACGCGGGAGGGAGAAGTTTTACCTTCTCCCAATTATAGCCGCTAACGGTCGGTGTTTGCTCCGGTGTCTCTTCAGACCTCTTCCAGTGCGATGATCTGCTCTGTCTCTCTGTCTGCTTCCTGCTGTCCGGCCCGTTGTGACCTCCGTGTCCTCCCTCGTGCCCTCTGTGTCCTCCCTCGTGCCCCCGGGTATCTTCCAGTGTCCTTTTTATCCAAGAACAGTCACTCCCCTCTCTGGGTGCCAGGTGTAAGTCCTTATGCTTGATTAAGGTATGTCTCCGGTGGGGAAGTAAAACCAACGTAACACAAACACACTTCAAAATAAAAGCATGCAATAATAAATAAGACAAAAACACAGCAAATTCAAAGTAAAAGCATGCTTAAATAAAATCAAACTTCCCCCCGTGACATCTCCCCACACTTTAAAGTTAGCAGTCCCTGCAACATGTTATGAGTCTCTATAACGGACTGGAGTTTGTCCAAAGTTTACCCTGGTGGAGCATCGTAGGGCACCCTCAGGTTCCACATTCACAGGCGGTATGGCTACCGGTGCTGGAAGGAACCCGTAGATCATGGGCTGGATGGGTCCCTGCATCTGGACAACCGGCTCAGTGGTTGGTAGCGGGACTTCGGTTGGGGGGGTACTGTACACACCTTAAGTGAGTTCCTATGGATATTTTGTATTCTGCCACCCTTCTCTGGCTGAATCTTGTACACAACCCCTGTATCCCCCCACCTGCTCCAACACCACCCATGGCTCTGGGTCCCACCAAGTACACAACTTTCCTGCCCCTCGTCTGTTCCTATCTCGCACCCACACCCTTTCCCCCGGTAAAAGTGGTAACGCTTTGGCCCTCTTGTCATAGTGCTGCTTGTTCTGGGTGGCTGCACTCTCCATTCTTTGTTTAGCCAGGCTATAAGCTAAGGACAGTTTCTGCTGGTGGTCTTGTACCCACCCACCTACATCGTGCCTCATCTGTTGGGGACCTACACCTAATCCTACATCAACAGGAAGTCGCAGGTGTCGCCCAAACATGAGGAAGGAAGGGGTATACCCAGTCGCACTGTGTGTGGTGTTATTATAGGCGTGTGTCAGTTCGGGCAGATAGTCGGGCCAGTGAGATTGCTTAGACGTCTCTAAAGAGCGGAGCATATTTAACAAGGTCTGATTAAAACGCTCTGCACTGCCATTTCCTGCGGGATGGTAGGGAGTTGTGCGGCTTTTAGTTATACCATAGGTATCACAAAATTGTTTCATAAGTGCAGATTCGAAATTAGGTCCCTGGTCAGAATGGAAACGGGCGGGGCAACCAAATGGTTGGATCACATGGGTCCACAGGGCCTTTACTGTAGTCTGAGCTGTTTGATCTCGAGTGGGAATAGCCCAAGAAAAACGGGTAAACAGATCAGTAGCAACAAGAATGTTCTGGTAGGTGTCTGTGGGCCGACCTAAGGACAAAAAGTCCAACCCCACCACTTCTAAGGGGTAGGATACTGTGAATGGATTTAGGGGGGCCTTAGGCTCCACCCTGTCTCGCTGCAGGTTACAGGCAACACAACCCTGCTGCAACTGACGTACCTCCCTCTCCATATCAGGCCAATAGAACCGCTGACGGATCCGGTTTAGGGTTCTCTCCACACCAGCATGGGCAGCGGCTTCATGGATCCTCTTCCAAACTTCTTGGCTCCTAGATTCTGGACACACAATCTGGAAACACACTTCGTGTGTGTGCGGGTCAATCATTTTACGACACAGTATTTTGCTTTTAACCTGAAGTTTTCGCTTTTGTTGCAACAGTCTCTGGGCTCTAAGGGACAATGTCAGGCGCTCTGGTCTCGTCGGTATCATTTGGGTTTCCACATACCTCTTAATGATTTGAAGGTCCGCATCACCAGCTTGTGCCTCCTCCCACTCTCTGCCTGTCCACTCCTCTTCACCTCCCTCAGGGGTCAGTTCAATGGCTGCCGTGACTGGAACGGTTTCCAGCTCAAGGTTTTCACATGAGGCATCTGCAGTCAGTGGGTTAATTGGGAACCGAGACAGGGCATCTGCATTTACATTACTTTTACCTGAGCGGTACTTGATGTCATAATCGAAGGAGGCAAGCTGTGCGACCCAGCGCTGTTCCACGGCACCCAGGCGAGCTGTCTGTAAGTGGGCCACAGGGTTATTGTCAGTGTACACCGTGAATCGGGCTCCAGTCAGATAGTCTTTAAATTTCTCGGTTACTGCCCACTTAAGAGCCAGGAGCTCTAGTTTGAAAGAGCTATAATTTGCATCATTCCGCTCTGTTGGGTGTAGGCTGCGACTGGCATAGGCTATCACTCGTTCTCGCCCTTGTTGGACCTGGGCCAAGACTGCTCCCAAACCATGATTACTGGCATCTTTCGGATTTGCGACTTTTTATCAGCAGGGATGCCTGTCAGCAGTTGGTTGAGGGGGCGTGCAATCTTTGCAAAGCCAGAAACGAAGCGTCTGTAATAGCCAGCTAAGCCAAGGAAGGCTCGTACCTGTCTTACAGTGGTGGGGATGGGCCAGTCTTTTACGGCTGAGATTTTGTCTGGATCAGGACTCACCCCTTTTTGGTCCACCACATGGCCCAGGAATTTCACTTCCTTCTGCAGGAGTTTGCACTTATCCAGGCGCAGTTTCAAGCCATGCCGCCACAGTTTGTTAAACACCTCATCTAGCTGCTGTAGATGGGAGGAAAAGTCAGGTGAATAAATGATAATGTCATCCAAATAAACCAGTAAGGATTCTGACAATTGGCCATTTAAACATTGTTGCATCAGACGTTGGAAGGTAGCTGGCGCATTGCACAGGCCGAAGGGCATACGCTCAAATTCATACAGCCCCAGCGGTGTGGTGAAGGCGGTCTTCTCCTGGTCTTGGGCGTCCATCTCAACTTGCCAATAGCCACTGGCTAAGTCAAGAGTAGAAAACCATTCTGCTCTGGTCAGACTGGTCAAGGTTTCTTCAATCCTGGGCAGGGGAAATGCATCTTTATGAGTTATTGCATTTAACTTCCTGTAATCCACACAGAATCTCCAACTGCCATCTTTTTTCTCACCAGTACTATGGGTGCCGCCCATGGGCTACAGCTCTCTTTAATGACACCTTGCTCCAGCATACCTGAGAGTAGGGATTTCATCTCTTTATACATGGCAGGGGGAAGAGGTCGATGTCGTTCTCGGATAGGTGGTGCATCACCAGTATGGATGCGATGTTGTACCAGGTCTGTACGTCCGAAGTCCTCATTGTGCTGTGCAAACACCTTCTGCCATTTCAGCAGCAGGGCGCGCAGCTCCTCCTGTTGCTGCTCAGACAGATCAGGCCTGTTGGAGAGTTCACTCACCCCTATCGGCAGCTTCTGGTCCTCCTCGTCAACTGCAGCATTTACCAGTGTCACTCCAACAACACAATCACCTTCAAGGGACAGGTTAAGGTCGCAGGCTCCATGTACATCCGCTTCATCCACCCGGGACAGTTTGCCAAGCTTCTGGTACCGATCTAGCATCAAACAGTAGGGGTGTGGGTTAAAAACTCTCACAGGGACTCTGCCATTTCTTATCACTGCTAGGGTCCTGGCCACCCTCACACTGCAAGTCTCAGGCAGCGCTTCAATTAGGGCACAGTAATCTTTTCCCCCAGGCTCATCCGAGCCCGACCCCACACCAGTACTTCACTCTTTGGGGGAATTTTGATGACCCGTCGGCTGGCTGGCCGCACGTACCCCAACATCCCGTCCTCTGTCATGGTAGCCTCAATGTGTCTGCATGTAGCAAATGCATCCCTCCAAACCCGCTGTCTCTGTAACGTCTGTGGGGGGGGGGAACAGACCCTCTGGGACATTTAAAAAAAACAGTCCAACAAGCAGTAACAACATTCATTCCAATGATGAGTGGGTGTGTACAGTGTTCATCCTTCACAATCACAATTCCTCTTCCAGGTATCTTAGCACCCTCTAGCTCCAGATCTAATACGGCATAGCTCGTATAAGGGATCTCCAGGCCATTTGCGGCCTGTAACTTAAAAACTATAGGAGCCTTTCCAAGCTTAGCTTGGGTAAAATGTTGCTCAAAGAGGCTTTGCTGCATTAAGGTGACCTGGGACCCCGTGTCTAATAGCCCCGACAGTGTAACTCCTTCAATGTTTACGTCTATAGTTGGACACCTTCCAATAAATGCTTCAGTGGGCCCGTTTTCTTCTGTTGTACTTTCAACCCCTGCCCCTCGGACCTCAGCAGCAGGGAAAGCTAGTTTAAAGCCTGCCGAGCAGTAGTTGGCCTCCTACAAAATCTAGCTATGTGGCCGGCTTGTCTGCATTGGCGGCAAATGGGCCTACCTTGCTCATCCCAGGTGTTCGTCTGGGAAACTGATCGTTGTCGCTCCCTATAGGGCTGTATTAGGGGCTGTGGTGCAATAACAGCTGGTTGAAGGAGCGGTTTAATCTCTCGCAACAGTTCCTGGGTCAGTCCGGTCATCTGAGATTTCACGTCTTCCATGATCTCTCTTTTCAGGGTCTCTCTCCAGCTGGTGTCCTGTGATGGAGGAGGCACATTTGGTTTATACACAGAAGCACAGATTACCTCCGGTTGGGGGGTTCCCATGTTCTGTATCAAGCAGCAGCGCCTCCTGTCTGAGTGCAGAAAAAGTTTCATCAGGGTTACGGCGGGCATAGACCTTCAGGGCCTGAGCCAGGGAACTTTCACGCAGCCCCAACAGCAGCTGGTCTCGCAGGACTGTGTCAGGGGGAGTTCCATCAGGGTCATGTTGCCGCAACCTGCAATACAGCTCTCTTAGTCTTAGAATGAATGAGGGCACAGTCTCGTCTGGTCTTTGGACACAACTAAAAAACTGAGACCTTAACACTGGGGCGGGGGTTCTGTCTCCATATAGAGAGTCCAAATACAGAAAGATTTTGCGTACTCTATCCCTTTCGTCATCCTCTAAAACACTGACCTGCCGTTTGGCTTCCCCCAGCTAACGCACCCAACACAATGTCAATTTTTCTGGCCTCTGCTAGCTCTTGCGCTCCAAGTAAGCCCTGTATTTGCTCCTTCCAGTCATGATATTTCAGGTCACAATTTGGTCCTTTAAACTTTGGCAGCCAAGGGGCACCAGGATATACAGGCATCATCATATTCACTGTTTTAAAATACACCACACTGCTCTCTGTACCCGGTCCTGCCGACAACGCCAAAATGTGAGCCGTGCTAAGGGTGGATAAATTAAAACACAAGTGCCGACAACGCCACCTAGGTTTAACTGAGGCCTAGGACCTCTTAGGATCACCAAATTAAAGTTAGGGTAAACAGGTTCTTTTATGTCGGGGGAGAGCAGTAAACAGTGTTATTTTTAAAACAATGAGTACAGCCAGTGGAACACAGTTGAACACAATTTATTTTAAAATAAGTAAAAACAACTAAAAGCTCTACCTTCAAATAAACTAAACAAAGAACACAAACAACTAAAACCCAGCTAAAATAATGTGGCACGGATGGAGTGGGAGGTCAACAACGGCAGTCGCGGGTCTCTGGTGGCGACCACCTGCTCTTCACCTGGCTCCGCTCTTCGGCAGCCTGTCGAGGGAAA